ATAGCAATAATTTAAATGAATTTCCCAACAATAAACCATTTCCAACCATAAATCATTTCCCATAAGTTCTTGTAGAATCTTATACTTCTACAAGCTCTTGTAAGAAACTAATTCCACACAATAACAATAATTGTTCAATAGTGTCATCCCATATTCTCATGTATATTGATTGCTTCTCATGAATCTACACAACGATACTATCTCGTTCACCCAATCATAACCACACAAACCACTTTAGGAAGGAAGGGCGTATACCGTCTCCCATGACATTGACGAATCCTTCCTAGGAAAGATATATTATCCCTCAACCTCGAACTTATGTGAACAATAGTGGTTGCTCTCACAAACAACAAACTACTACAAGTGTTAGGAAACCATCTCACCCCTACTGGGAAAGACTAACTTCTAACACTCTATGGTAGTGCTTGAATGAAATTAAAGTCCATCACAACAACCATACAAGAGATGCAATTCCAACAAAATTCTCAAATCATAAGTAAATCATAAATCCCCAATTTTATCGGCATTTTTCCAATAGAAAATTTTAAGAAATTAAGCAAGAGATCATCACAAATACCATTTTATTACTCAACACAAAGCACTAGGGTTTCAAACTCAAGAGTAAAGGAAGAATCAAGAGGAAAATCCATCTCTTTGAAAAACTAGGGTTTTATGACAAGAAAAGAAATCTCCTGGTTATATAACCATATCTTTGTTTAAAACATGGTAATGATTGTAAAAATCTCAAGGAATCATGATTTCATAGCATATACATATGATTAAAAGTGGAAACATACATATAAATACATGCCCTAGCCCCAATGGACAAAAATGGAAGGAACCCCTACCTTGGTGTTCTAGAAAAACTAGGGTTTTGATCTTCTTGAAGTGGAAATCCCCTTTGTTTTTCTCTTCCTTTCTTCCTCTCTAAGGTTTCCTAGGGTTAGAAGTGTTGATATGGGGCTAAATGAGACGTCCTTAGGTATTTATAATGGAAGAAAAACTGGCTGTTTCGCGACTTAAAATTTCAGATTTTTAGAAAACCTTCCGGAAGATTTTTTATCGATCTTCCGGAAGGTTTGTCTACTGGACAAACATTTACATTAACCTTCTGGAAGGTTTTTCATCGACCTTTCGGAAGGTTTGCCTACTGGACAAACTTTTTCATTATCCTTCAGGAAGAACATTACTTTAACCTTCTGGAAGGTTTTCACCGACCTTCTGGAAGGTTTTGCCCACTGGATTAGCATTTACCTTAACCTTCTGGAAGATTTTTCATCAATCTTCCGGAAGGTTTTGCCTGTTTTTCTACAAATCCTTCATTTTTATTTTCAACCCATTCCAATCCGTTCCACAACCATCCAAAACCATCTCAAACTTATACCACACACATTTGTACATCAAACCTAGTTAGTACAAGTTCTATTACAACGATTTCATATATTTATAAGATAAAACTAAGTTTTAACTACTATTTACTCGAATTTTTCCATATTAACATTTCAAAAGAAATAATAACTTGCTATATAAACCTATATACATATATAAAGATAAAAGTGTGGGGTTTACAATCTCTCGTAACACTAGGGTTCCTCCCCCTACATGGGAGGCATTGTATAGTATTTATAGCCATGTTCCTATTACTATGGGATATCCTAGGAGATTTTTGCCCTTCATTCATGGGATCTCCCTTGGTTTGTGGAGAGAATGTTGGTTGGTTGAGAGTCTTGTGCCTTGATTATAGTCTCCTACTTTCTTGGGAGCACTAGTTGTCTCCTCCTTGATTTCTCTGAGGGGAGCTCGAGGTCTGTCCATAGGAGCTTTGGACAGCTGACTCGTTCTCCTAGTTTGACCTCCATACCCGAGCTCATTCTTGGAATTTCTTCTGGGTATCATCAGTTACCCCCAGTCCCTGATCAAAGTGGGTTTGACCAGGGGCTGAGCTAGAGTTGAGTCAAAGTAGAACCTCCCAAGACGACCTCAATTCACGCATAAAAGTTACCTTTTGACAATTTTTAGCAATCATTCATTTCCTCATTTTTCATGCACATTACGACCCACGCCTTTCGAGCTTTAAATACTCATACGAAAATAAAAATTGCCAAAACTTCCTATTCATCTTCTTCCTTCAGCCTTTAATTTCCCATTTTTCTACACTCTTTACTTTCCCACCTTACTAGCGAACTTAGGATTTTGCTGAACCTTCTCCCCTCCGAATTCAATTTTGAAGGCTCCACGAGGCTTGTCTCCTGATTTCGCTCTGGGGTTTTGATTCGTCATCTCTGATTGGGTACGCTTCTCAGCCCTCGTTTGTTCCTTCATTCTGGATCCCTCGAATTTGAGGTGGTTGTTGTATTTCTGGACTTTTTGATTCTTTTATTTTAGGAATTGGGGTTACTCCTTGTCTCGTCTTCCTCTCTTTCTCGACCCTTACTCTACGGCTAGAATTTTCCTTATTGGCAGTTGTTGTGTTGATCCCCTGACCCTCAGAGAGTATTTTTTAGAGATTTCTCCTCTTTATAGGTCTTTTCAACTCCCTACTCTTGCCCAGCTATGTCTGCTTCCTTCGAAGCCACAGGCTCATCTATTTCCCTCATTGGGAATAGGTCTCCTAAAGTAAAGGATTCTGATTTGGGTGATGTGGGAGATGAGATTGATAGCTCTTTTGGTGTCAATTCTATCGATATTGAGAAAAATGTCAAGGAGCCCCCTTCTTCATCCTCCCTAATGCCTAAAAACTCTAGCAAAGGTAAAGCCAAGACAAGTGGCATAGGTGTCTTAGGCAGCACCAAGGGCGCAATGTTGTATCCAAAGCTGTAGAGCTCGTTGGTGCCAGTGAGGTCTCTCTTCCTCAGATGAAGGTCTTAGCTACTCATTTTGGTTTTTCCCAGGATGTATAATTCTGGTGCCTAGACGAGTTTACCCGATATGACACTGTGGCCCTAGAGATGACCTGTTTCTTCGTAGCCTCTTTCGAGAATGGGCTTAGGTTTCCTGTCCATCCCTTCATCAAGTCCATCCTCTAGCATTTTAATGTCTGCCCTACTCAAATCTCTCGTAAATTTTGGGGTGTCCTAGTGGGTCTTTTGGTCTTTTTCAATAAAAACCAACTTGGCATCCCTTCTATTCCACTGCTCATAAAATTCTTCAATGTTAAGTTCAATCTAGATGATTTTCTGTACATTTTCAAGCGGGTGAAAACCCTAGCCTTGATCACTGACCTGCCCAGCTCTCATAAGAACTGGAAGAAACAGTTCTTCTTTGTGCCAGGGAAGGCATGAGAATTTAATCATAGTGACGCCACTGACTCCCTTCCAGTTCCACGCTCCTGGGCGGGTCTAGACAACCTGGGTAAGCTTTAAATTCTGAAAAGGCCCCCTTTTCCTCTTTTTATTGTTAGATGATGAGTTCGTTTCTTTGGTTGTTATAGGTATTTGTCCTAAGCTTGGAGCTGAGGATAGGAGAGTTCTGCTCTCCTTTAGGGATTGTAAATTGGAGAGGTATTCCACTCTAACTGACCATTTCGAGCTCATAAAACTAGGCTTTAGCCCTCTAGTGGTGAAGATTGAAACCCCTGTTCCCATTTCTGTTACAGGAGCTGAAGGAGCGTCAGGTGATATTTTTGCTCTCAACTCTTACCTTTTCCTACACTCCTACTTTTGCCTCTTCTTCTAATCTATTTGTCCTCAACTCTCAGGTTCCTCATCAATGAAGCCCACATCAAAGGATCGCATGGCCAAAGTAGCTTTGTTAAGGAAAACCAGGAGTGGGAACAAATGCAAGACTGAGGTTAGATCTGGGGGTGATTCAGCCTCTCCAGCCAAGATACCTAGGTTGGAGGTCCCTTCTTCTTCTCCCTAACTGCCTCAGGCAGACCCCTATCTCTTTTGAGCTCCCTGAAAGTTGTCCAAACCTCTCTTCCACAAGAGACTGGGTTGCCATCTTCTGGAGGGACCTCTGAGAAAAGCATAGTTTTGATCTCTCCCTCCTCGACAAAGGTTGAGAGAGCTTTGGAAATAGTCTCTCACATTCTGCTTGGGTTTACTCCTCCTTGCCCTACTGAGAAATCCTCTTCGCTACTTCCCAAGGTTAAGAGCGAGAAAGGGAAGCTTCCCGATGGTGAGACAGGTGAGGGCTCCCTAATTGATAACGTTAAGCGGGCAGCAGAGGCCATTGCCTCCATTATTCTAGAATTTGATATCCAGAGGGTGACAAGTATGCCCCTAGGAACTTCCATTTCTACTGCCCTGTTCAGCGCTACTTCTGTAAGTCTCTGGCCTTTTGACTTTCTTCTTACCCTGCATCACTCCCTCATGCTAACTCTAGCCTTTTGGGGGGGTGTGTTTTACTCTTAGATGGCCATTCATGTAAGTTGCTTGTTGAAAAAGATCCAAGTTTTAGAAAGGCTTGCCAAAGCTTCCAAGGCTTTCGAGCTCAAGGTTGCTGAGCTGTATTTTGAAAACATCGACCTTAAAGCCCAAGTCTAGGACTTGCACGCGCAGGTGGAGAGGCAAACCTCCCTCAACAAAGGCTTAGAGACTGAGAAAGAGAAGATTGAAAGTAAGGGTAAACACATCAAAGAAGAGTTGGGGAAGACAAAGGAGGAGCTCAAGGAGACCAAGGAGGAGCTTAGACAGAAAACAAATGACTAGATTAAGGCTAGTTGAGAGAGTCTTGAGGCCTTGAGCTCCTATAGCGCCATGAAAAGGGAACATGACATCTTGGAAGAGACAAGCGATGTTCTTTAGAATGAGCTCGAGGAGCAGAGGATTGTGGCTCAAAAGAAAGATGATCTAATTGCTAAATTTGCTGACGACGTTAATACTCAATGGGCCACTGACTAGCTCACTTTCTAAGACCAAGCTGAGTTGACCTACCCTAGCTTGAATTTTAACTTCGAGATCCCAACTGAGGTAGCTAACGTTGAGGCTAGGGTCTTTTGCTTTTGAAACAACTCTTGAAAGGGTTGGTGTACCTATTCCACCTGTTGAGGCACAAGCTCAAGGTGTTTCCTCCTCTTCAGTCATTTTTATAAGTTTCACTCCTGTAACTGCTCCTGCTTTAGCAGCTAGAGATCCTTCTGCTTCAGCTGTCCTCGTGGCTCTAACCCCTGATCTGACTTTGCCAATAGCATAAGTTGAGGTCTCTGCTATTCCACCTACTCCTGAGCTCCCAGAAATTTCAACCACTGATCTACTAAGCTCTAATGATTTTGGAGCTCCTATAGCCGAGCAGCCAGATTCTTCCCTTATGGAAACATCAACAGCAGAGCTGCTTGCCTCTTCTCCACCTGTTTATAATACAGAAACCTATTTTCTTTTTTGTAAGCTGAATTGTTATATTTGAACTTCTGTTTGAGAAATGCTCATGCACACTGTTTTTCTGAATTACTGATGCCTTTGTTGTCTCTGAGTTATTGTGTGCACTACTTTACTTTGCTTTTCATTCACCTTGTTTATTGTACACATAGCTTCTCTTTGCCCTATATTCCATTTGACACCTCTTGCCCCTTGCTTCAAGGGATACTTCAGATCCTCCTGAAGCAAATGAGGTTGGAGAATTGAAAAGCTAGTGATATATTGCACTGTGGTCCTTTGTAAGGAGGACTTAGCTCTTGTTGAAGTAGTCTTGCCAAGAATTTTCAAAGAGCTGCGGGGTTAAAAAGGTTAACAGAACTGTGAGGTGTTACCCTTAGAGAAATTTTTCCTGCTATTTGGTGCTTGTAAGGGATCAATGGATGTCAAACTTGACATCCCTCATAGTGACAAGAGGTTTACTGGAAAGAGTTCTCTACTTTTGAGAATAGCATCAATTCTCAAGAATTCTCCTATTTCTATGTTAAGGTCATCAAGAGGATTAATTTCTACCTCCTTGTAGAGTTGGAATTCCTTTTGGTAGCCATTGAGCCCTAAGCTCAAGCTAGCATAGGGTCATATTAACTATGCTTAGAGATCTTTCTGATAAGACCTAAGCTCCCAGAGCTAACAAAGTTACAAGGATAGAGTTGAGAGTTGGCTTGCCTTATTTTTTGTGCCCAACTACCTTCCAAAAAGAATAACTGCCTCCTTAATTTGGAAACCCAAAGGTCCGCCAACTTAGTCCTTCGTGCATTCCTTGATTTCCTAAAACTCGTTGTGGACCTGGTGGAGACGATGAAGGTTGAACAGATGGTCCATGTTGAGCCTATGCCTTTTTCTGAGCTGGTGACATCAGATAACCTTTTCTTCTTTAGTGCTGTAGTGGCTACTATGAACTTTGTTTCTTTCTTTGACTTTCCTTATCCTTTCCCTCCTGAATCGGATAAGGACGAAGACGCTGGTACATCTTCCAAGAAGTGTGAGAGGAGTGGCTCCTCTTCTCCCTCAATCTGGATCTTCCTTGGGAACAATACTATTTTCCTCAATTGGATAGAAACTTATGAATTTACTTTTAGAGACAGAGAAGAAGAAAGATGAGCTGAGGGAAGAGAATGCGCGTCTTCGAGATGCTAACGCCTCACTAAAAGAGGAAATAGCTGAGCTGAAGGAGAGATTTGGGAGAGTGTAGAACGCTTCATCTTTTCTTTTTCATTCCTCTAGAAACAAACCTCTTCATGTTGTTTTGTAATTTCTTTTCACTTGTTGAACATTTGCTCTTTCATATGTGCTTATGAGCAACGGATTTGTTGAGTTAATTCTTTGTTCTGTGTCATATTTATGAGTTGTAAGGCTCATCTCTTTATGGGTTGAACAGATTACCATAATTTTATGAGCCAGAGAACTCACCTTAATTTTATGAGCTGAGGAACTCATCTTAATTGTATGAGCTGAGGGGTTCATCGTGTTTTTATGAGCTAAGAAGCTCATCTTACTTTTATGAGCTGAAGAGCTCATCTTGTGTTTTATGAGCTAAAGAGCTCACCTTTTTATTTATGAGCTGAGGAGCTTATCTTTTATTTATAAGCTGAAAAACTCATATTTTATTTATGAGTTGAAGAGCTTATCGTAATTTTATGAGCTAGGAAGCTCATCTTACTCTTATGAGTTGAAGAGCTCATCTTGTGTTTTATGAGCTGAAGAGCTCATTTTTTGTTTATGAGTTGAGAAGCTCATCATGATTTTATAAGTTGAGAAGCTCATCTTACTTTTATGAGCAGAAGAACTCATATTTTATTTATGAGCTAAGGAGCTCATCGTGATTTTATGAGCTGAGAAGTTCATCTTACTTTTATGAGCTGAAGAGCTCATCTTTTATTTATGAGCTGAAGAGCTCATCTTTAGCTTCTTAGCTATTCCAAGAAGTCACGTCGAGATGAATTAGAACATGTCATTTTATCGAGAACTATTTTATTACAAAAGGAAATTTACTTGGAAAACTTCTTAGGGTGCTCTGCGTTCCAAGAATGAGGTAGGATCTGACCCTATTCTGTTTGTAACTCATAGTTTCTTGGCCTGACCACTCTTGAGACAATTTAGGGACCTTCCCAATTAGGGCCCAACTTTTTGTGAGTGGGGTCCTTTTTTGCAGGCAGGAGCTTCTTAAGTACTAGGTCCCCAACTTTAAAACTCCTATGTCTGACCCTCCTATCATAGTATCTTGTCGTCTTCCTCTGGTAACTCTTAATGTGCTGCAGGGCTCCATCCCTCTTTTCGTCCAAGAGGTCAAGGTTCAGTAGAAGTGATTCGTCATTATGTTTTGACACTGTGAGCTCTGCCCTAGGAGACTGGATTCCTACTTCGACGGGCGCCACCGCTTCGGTTTCGAATGCCAAAGCAAAAGGCGTTTCCTGAGTTTCTGACCTGGCAGTTGTCCTGTAGGCCCATAGCACTTCTAGGACGTGCTCTACCCATTTTCCCTTTAGAGCCTCCTATTTAGTTTTTAGAGCTACCTTTATAGTTTAGATAGTGACCTCTGCTTGTCCATTGGATTAAGGGTGAGCTGGAGCTGGAGCTGAAAAGTAATTCTTTATCCCTAACTCAGCACATAATTTTTTGAACTTTGGGTTGTCGAATTGCTTTCCATTGTCGGAGATGATTGCCCTGAGAATCCCAAACCTGCAAATTAAGGACTTGCACGTGAAATTCTGAACCTTCTATTTTGTGATTGTTGCCAAGGGTTCCAGCTGTGCCCATTTGGTGAAGTAGTCCACTCTAATAATGGTGAACTTGCACTGCCCCACACTTACGGGAAGGGGACCAAGAATGTCTAAGCCCCATTGTTGGAATGACCAAGGACTTACTACTGACGTTAAGATCTCTGGCCGGCAATGAGAGATATTGACGTGTAATTGGCAGACTTTACACTTTTTGACCAGGTCTGTAGCATCCTTGAGCATGGTGGGCCAGTAATATCCCTGCCTTAAAGCTTTTCTTGCCAGAGCTCGAGCTCCGATGTGGTTACCGTAGATTTCTTCATGAATTTCTTTTAGTATGTAGTTAGCGTCCTTGTTTCCTATGCATTTGAGGAGAGGTGCCAAAAAGCCTCTCTTATACAAGTTTTCTTGCAAGATAGAAAATCTGGCTGACCTCGTTCTCAGTTTTGTAGCTTCCTTCGAGTCTGTTGGCAAGGTTCCATTTTGAAGATATCTATGATGGGGTCCATCCAGCTGGGTGAGGCTAGAACAGGGAGCACTTCCACCTCCTTGGTGCTTAGTGACGGCTTTGCTAGGTGCTCCACTTGTATCAATCTATCCAGGTTTTCCTGCGAGGCAGTTACCAGTCTTGCCAGTGCATCTGCTTGTGAATTCTCAGACCTAGGGACATGCCTGATCTGAAATTGCACAAATTTCTTAATCAATTCTTGTAACTTTCTAAGGTACAAGACCATTTTATCACCCTTGGCCTCATAAGATTCCTCTATTTGTTTTACCACGAGCTGGGAGTCATTGCTGACCTCAAGCTGTTTCACATCCATTGATAACACAAGGTTTAGCCCAGCAATGACTGCTTCATATTCTATTTCATTGTTTGAACAAACCTAAGAGTGTACTCGACATCTATTCCATACGGGGAAGTCAGAATCAGATTAGCACCACTCGCTTGAGCATTGGCAGCTTTGTCTAGGGAAAGCTTCCACACAGGGAGGTCCGGGACAAGCTGTATTGCCTTCACAAGTGCTTATGACTTCAATTCTGCAATGAAATCTACTAGAATATGTCCTTTGATCATTGTCCTCGGCTTGTATCTGATATCGAACTCACTAAGCTTAATGGCCCATTTAACCAACCTTGTAGAAGATTCTGGTTTATGCAACACTTGTTTCATTGGTTGATCTATTGGAACCTCAATAGTATGGACCTGAAAGTATGGCCTGAGTCTTCTCGCGGTCGTAACCAAAGCCAAGACTAGTTTCTCCAGGCAAATACTTCTATATTTTCCTTTCAGGAATTGAATGAGAAGGTCTTTAATTACTCTGCTCAACTTAGACCCTATGTAGACAAGGTGTTCTGGTTCTTCGTCAAGCTGAACTAGTTCCAGCTCTTCGGATGGTGTTGGTCTAGTGCCCAGCTCGTCCCTCATGTTGAGCTCGTCTAGTTGAATATTTTTGATTTCTTTCCTCTTGAAAGATGCCATGTAGCACTCCCGTGCCACACGCTGGTCTCCTCGGACCATACCTGTAACACCCCAATCCCACTACACTATTATTATAAAAATAAAATTTAGGCAATCCTTATATTAATAAAACATTATAACATGACACTTAAAGAAAACTCATCCTAGAAATATTTATCTTAGGATCATTTTTTTTAAGGTCATATGTGCGCGGCACACAGGCTTGCTACCATGTAGAATATACATATTCTAAAAATATTTACAAGTGTTGTTTACATGACAAAAACCAAAATATTGACATCATAGACAACCCAAAAGTTTTTGTTTTTGTTTTTGTTTTTTTTAAAGACATAAGAAACTGACATGAGCCATTCCCAACACTCCTGACTGGACTTCTAGCTGCGGCAGTGGACTGCAAGCTTGTGTTCAGTTTACCTGAAAATTTTTCAAGCAAATTTCAGTGAGTTTTCATTAATGATTTCAGAGATAGAGCAAAGAAAGTAATGTGATGTCCATGCTCATTTATGAAATTTTAATATTTATGTTTCCATATCTTTTCTCAAAATTGTATTTCATTGCACTACGGTTTCACACAAAAATAATTATCTTGCCACCCAAGTAACAAAACACCACACAATAATATTCGTGGTTCCATAACTTTTCTCGAAGTTCTATTTCATTGTGCTAGAGTTTCACACAGAAATAACCGTCTTGCCACCCAGGCGACAAAACACCATACAAGTAAATCACCATATCAGTATACGATCGTCACTCAGAAAACTTAAAAAAATGTATCCATTTCTCGATATTCTATTTTTTTTGAACAACTCACCTTACACCAAAAATTTAGCTTCTGTCACTTAGACGAAATCAGCTTTAACTTATCTTAGTCACGAGAAAAAATTTGAACACTTGGGTCACGTTTAGTCACGTAAACATCACAGTCTAACAATTTGCTTTCGT